GTCCTCCCGTTTTCTCCTATAGTTAACGATTGCCTTTGAAGAATACATCACTCCCGGGATACTGGGTCAATTTTTATTAAATACCCCAATCTTGGGTGTATTTTTTAAGTTACATACATTTAAGATTTCTTAAATACAGACCTTAATCTTAGGTGTAAAGGAATAACTCTTCCCTAATTTAGGCTTTTTCCACTGCCCAAACTGCTACTCCGCACCCGCAAAACCTGCCTTTCTCATAGAAGCCTTAACTTTAGGACCTCCATTGTCTTATTACCTAAAAAGTGTCTTTTGTATGTAATATATTAAAGTATCACAGTGAGGCAGGACGCAATGTAATGCCAGCACTGTAGGAGGCTGAGGCAGGAGGATTGCAATTTAACTTGTCAGCCTAGGCAGTTTAAAGATTTAGCAAGACCCTGCCTCAAAATAAAATGAAAAGACCGGGGATGAAACGCAAGGGGAAATCCCTTGATTTAATCCCCAGTACTGAAAGAAAAAAAAAATCACAAGGGCTCTTCTGAGATCAATATAACCTTGATGAACTTATATTTCAAAAATAAAATTAAGTCTCAAAAATAAATGCTTCAAAAACAATGACACTGAAGTGTGTTTAATAAGTGTACAAAAATAGTAATACTGTATTCTTATAACTGTTAAACTATAAAAGTTAAGTTATCCTTTAAAATTTCTTTAACTCAATTGTCTTCTGAAAATTGGCAGGGAATGCTTTCTTAGGAAAATTTCTGCAGATGGTAAAATAGCAACTAATCAATGATGTCTCTCTTTCAGAGGTATTTATCATTGGAATATCCTGCCTCTGATATTGAAGGCCCACATCCTCTCTGCCTTCTAACTGGCCTATTCCTAAGGGGTTCTTTTCTTGACAGCTCTCCTGTTTATTTGCTGTGTGATCCCAGAAAAAGTCAAACTTAAAGTTTTAATTCATCATCCCTAATGACACTAATAATTCCTAACTCATAAATATTCTTCTAAGAGTTAAGTAAAATATTTGTAATAGTCCTAACACATGCTAAATGCTCAATTTTTTAACCTTCTCTGGTTATTTCAGTGATTAGACAAACTATTATTTCAATAATGATAATCTAATAAATTCACTGAATCTTTTTGGCAAAATAACTAATACTTCATAAACTATTCATATACAAAGACTAAAATGCCACTCCTCACAAAAATTCTAGGCTCATGTATTTACTAGAGAAAAAAAATCTTAGCAGAAAAGGATGCACTTGTTATGAACTGAATGTATGTGAATCCTTCAATTTGTTGACATTTATATGTTGAAATTTAACCCCTGGTGTGAGGTATCTGAAGGTGGGATCTTTGGGAGGCAATTAGTGGCTGAGGGTGGAGCCTTCAAAAATAGGATTAGTATCCTTATACAAAGAGGCCAGAGATCTAACTTTCTCTTTTCCCACTGTGGAGCTTAAAATGAGAGCCAGGAAAAGGCCCTCAACAGACAACAGATTTGATTGCCCTGTAATCTTGAACTTTCCAGCTGTCAGAAACTTGAGAAATAAACTGTAGCTAAGCAAACCAGTCCATAGAAATTTTTTATAACATCCTAAACTAGGAAAGTATTTCTGAAAAATTAGGAATTCAGCCACAGGCTAGTACAGAGAAACTTTCACTGTCAGGCACAGAAAAGCAAATGACCACTGTAAAAGTTAAATTTGATGGAGTCAACTTGATTGGCTTTGGGACCCTGAGGAATTGATGGAGGGTAGTCATGAAGGTGTGGCCTTGGAGTCTGTATGTGGTCCCTGGCCCCGGCTCTCTCCCTGGCCCCTGCTCTCCACCCCAGAAGGTAGGCATCTTTGCTCTGTCATGCCCTCCCTCCATAATGTTTCTACATTGGAGTCAACAACCATCCACTGCATCCTTTGAGACAGAGCCAGCTCTTCTCCTTTAGTTGTGGGTACTGGGTATACCAACCGGGTAGCCCAAAAGTGGGAAAGCTGACTAATACAGCCACTGTTTTCATAAACAAGACCTTTCTTTATGCTGTCGGGACTCTAAAGAGCCTTTCCTTTCCTCTAAAATAATGTTGTATAGTTGTATCCAGTATAGTGATAGAATTAATAAAAAATCCTATTTGGGGGTAGATTGCCTTAAATTAATGTTACCATATTTCTCTAAGAAAATATTTTAATCCTAAAGATTTAATTTTACAACCCATACACAAACGCTATAAGGGTTCACCAAATTAAACAACGTAGCTAACATTTAAAATACAAAGTCATCCATATATCAGCTTCCAAGTGAGGCGCTCCACTAAATCACTCACCGTGAAACTGGTGGTGAAAACTGAAGAATTCTTGCCCTTTGGAAATGGTTCTAGAGGCAAAGAGCAAAGGAAGAAACATTACTTTGAGAAAAACCCACGAAAATTTTGCAAGAAAGGCAAGTCTGTGGGTTTTTTTTCTTCAATTTATTTTATTCTATTGGTACATTTTAGATATACATAATGATAACTTTCATCGTAGGGAATTTGTACCTGTACGTAACATATCTTACTTCTTTTCTTCCTGCTCCCCTTCCCTCCCTTCAGCCCCTCTTCCCCTCCTTATTTACAAAAGCTTTGGTGATATTTTAACCAAGACTGCTTCCTCCCTTCCTCTTCCCATGTTAGGAAAGCAGAGACTCCAGTTGAGATTCTATGGACAAAAGCTACCACCTGGAGGGTTTTCTCTTTCTTTCTTATCCTTCCCTTTCCACTTCCCCTTCCCCCTCCCTTTTCTCTCTCCCTCCCACCCTTCCTTCCCTTTATTCTTTTATTTTTTTATTGTGGTAAAAATACATAGTATTTATAATTTTCACCATTCATAAGTGTATAATTTATGGCACTAAATACATTCACAGTATTATATAACCATTGCATTATCCATACCAAAAGTTTTTTTTATCATCCCCAAGAACTTTGTACCCATTAAATAATAACTCTCCCTTTTCTCCTCTCTCCAGTTCCTCACAACCTCTATTCTATTTTCCATCTTTATGAGTTTGTGTCATATGAGTGGAATCATACAATGTTTGTCGTTCAGTGCCTGCTTATTTTACTCAATATAATGTTTTCAACATCCATCTGTACTGTAACATTTCCAGAATCTCATTCCTTTTCAAGGGTGAAAATACCACATTTTGCCTACTTGTTATCCTGATTGAGGGACATTTCTATTGTTTCCATGTTTTATTCCTCTTGTGAATAATACTGTTATATAATATCTCTCTGAGTCCCTGCTTTCAATTCTTTTTGATATACAACAAGGAATGGAATTGCTGGGTCATAAGGTAGTTGTACCTAATATTTTAAGAAATCATCAACAGCAACTGCACTACTTTCCATCACCACTAACAAAGTATAAGAGTTCCAGTTTCTCCCTGTACTGGTTAATGTTATTACTATTTTTTATTTTATTTTATTTTTTTGCTACTGGGATCAAACTCAAGATCTTGTGCTTGTGAGGAAGGCGGCAGCACCACTGAGCTAAATCCCCAGCCCTTATTTTTATTTTTTAAATTATAATCATCCTAGCAGGTATTAAGTGTGTGTATCTCATTGTGGTTTTGACTTGCATTTTTTAATGACTAATAATGCTGAGCATCTTTCCATATCCTTAATGGTCATTTGAATATCTTCTTCACAGAAATGTTTTTGCAAATCTTTTGCCAATTTTGGGGAAGTAACGTACTTG